GGCCTGCAGGGGAGGACAGTTAGGGGGGACCAGGCCAGCAGGGGAGGGCAGTTAGGGGCAATCAGGCCTGCAGGGGAGCAGTTAGGTGTCAATCAGGCTGGTAGGGGAGTGGTTAGGGGGTGATCAGGCTGGCAGGCAGAAGTGGTTAGGGGCAATCAGGCAGGCAGGCAGGCAGGCGAGCAGTTGGGAGTCAGCAGTCCCAGATTGTGAGAGGGATGTCCGACTGCCTGTTTAGGCCCAATCCCACCGAGGAGTCCCAGATTGGAGAGGGTGCAGGCTGGGCTGAGGGACACCCCCCCATGCACGAATTTCATGCACTGGGCCTCTACTGCTCATATAAACATCTATACACATCTGACTTTTAAATTTTTATTTACAAAAAATTATACATATTACTCTGTAACTTGCTTTTATAAAACTTAATTAATCATAAATAACTCTACAGGTGAAGAATATAAATTCTTACTATAACTCTTTATATCAGGGTTCAATCAGAGAAGCATAACCAATAGGAGATTATTAAGATATTTTTATAAGGAATTTCCTTATGTGATTGTGAATCCTGGCTGAGCAACTCCAAAATTGTAGGGCAGGCTGTCAGGAATGACAGATCATGGGCAGGCTTGAACTCATGGACATAGGCCAAAGCTCTCATCTATAGACAGGAATTTCAGGAGAAGGATTGAACTCCAAGTACATGGACTAAAGTTGTGAGGCAGAATTTCTTATCTCTCAGAGTGGGGAGACCTCAGCACTGCTTTTTTTTTTTTTTTAGGTGGTTATAACAACTACTATGAACTCTATGTTCTTAAAAATTTTTAAGTGCATGATATAGTAACAGAAGCTCCACAACCAGTGTTGTATAGCAAATCTCTGAAACTTATTCATATCTTATATAAAGGGAACTTTATACATATTCAACATCAACTCCTCATTTCCCCTATAGCCAGCCTCTTGGAATCACCATTTTATTCTGTGCATTTATAAGTTTGACCTCATATTTAATTTATATACCTAATATGAAAAATCATGCCATATTAGTCCTTCTGTGACTGCCATATTTCACTTACCATAATATCCTACAGATTTATCTATATTGTCACATATGGCAGAATTTTCTTCCTTTTTAGAGCTGAGTAGTATTACACTGTATGTATATACCATGTTTCTTAATCCATTTATCTATTAATGGATGTTTAGTTTGTTTCTATATCTTGGCTATTGGGAATAGTGCTGCAATCAACATGAGAGTGCAGATATCTCTTCAAGATCCCGATTGTAGTTATTTTGGATATATATCTAGAAGTGGGGTTGCTAATCATATGATAGTTCTATTTTTAATTTTATGAAGAACCTCCTTACTGTTCTCCATAGTGGCTGAAGCGTTTTAATTCTGAACAGTGTACTATGGTTCCAGTATCTCCACATCCTTGCCAATACTTATCTTTTGTTTCTTTGATAATAGCTATCCAAACAGGAGTGAGGTGATTTCTTATGGTTTAGACTTGAATTTCCTAAAGATTAGAAATGTTGAGAATCTTTTCATATACTTGTTGGCCATTTGTATGTCTTCTTTGAAGACATGTCTATATAAGTCCTGTGCCCATTTTTAAAATCTAGTTATTTGTGGGATTTTTTTGTTTTTGTTTTTGCGATTGAGTGTTCCACATAGAAGTGCCTTATATGTGGAAATTAACCCATTATCAGGTATATAGTTTGCAAATATATTTTCTTCCATTCCATAGGTTGCCTATTCATTCTGTTGTTTCTTTGCTATGCAGAAGTATTTTAGTTTGATGTAGTCCTACTTGTCTGCTTTGCTTTGTTGCCTATGTTTTTGGTGTAATTTTCAAGAAACCATGGCCAAGACCAATGCCAAGCTTTTTCCCTGTTTTCTTCTAGGACTTTTCCAGTTTTAGGTTATACATTTAAGTCTTCAGTCCACTTTGAATTGATTTTCATGTATGGTGGAAGGTAGGAGATGAGTTTCATTCTTTTGCATGTGGATATCCATCGAGTTTTTTGAGCACCGTTTTTTGAGAAAAGGATCCTTTCCCTATTTTATATTGTTGGCAACTTTGTCAAAGATATATTGACTGCATATATATATGAGTTTATTTCTGGACTATCTATCCTATCTTATTTGTTTACATGTCTGTCTGTAATTACTGTAGCTTTGAATATATTTTGAACTAAGAAGTATGATGCCTCCAGATTTGTTCTTCTCTCTCAATTTTGTTTCAGATATTATGGGTCTTTTCTGATTCCACATGTGGTCTTTCTATTTCGATAAAAATGCCATTGGAGTTTTGATAGGATCACATTGAATCATTAAATTGTTTTGGATAGAGAAAAATCATCACTCTTGCATGATATAAAATTCTCAACAAACTAAGTGTAGAATACATGGCCTTTATTACCTCAACATAATAAAGGCCATGTATGAAAGGCCCATAGCTAACATCGTACTCAAAGTGGGGAAACTGAAAGCCTTTTCTCTAAGATTAGGAACAAGACAAGGATGCCCACTTTTACCACTTCTATTCAGCATAGTAGTGGCAGTTTTATCAAGAGCAATTAGGCATGAAAATAAAAGGCATCCAAATCAGAAAGGAAGAAGTAAAATTATTTCTGTCTGCATATGATGTAATTTTACATATAGAAAATCCTAAAAACTCCACAAAAAGCTCTTACAACTAATAAATGAAGTTATTAAATGTGTAGGATATAAAATCAACATACAAAATTCAGTTGTGTTCATATACACTAACAACAAACTACCTGAAAAGAAAATTAGTAAACCATCTCCTTACAATCACATAAAAATGAATGCATGGAATAAACTTAACCAAGGAGGTGAAAGATTTCTACACTTAAAACTACAAAATATTGCTGAAAGAAATTAAAGACAAAAATAAATAGAAAGACCTTTCTGTGTTCACATATTGGAAGACTTCATGTTGTTAAAATGTCTGTTCTTCTCAAAGCTATCTATAGATTCAATGTGAACCTATTAAAACGCCAATGACTTTTTTAAATTTTTCAATTACAGTTTAAGTTCAATATTATTTTATATTAGAGGACTGGTGCATGGATTCGTGCACTGGTGGGGTCCCTCGGCCTGGCCTGCAGGAATCAGTGGACCTTTGTGCTGCTGCAGCCCAGCCCTACCCGCCAGCTCATTGGGCTCCAGCCTGTCGATCCAGCACAACAGGAAGTAGTGCACAAAGCAGCAGGTGGCCTGGGAGGAGCCCCAGCGCTGCCCTGCTCCAGCTCATCCCTGCCTTGCTGCGCCTGCCACCGCTGCTGCTCAGTAGGCTCACTACCACTCCTCTGTGGTCTTTTGCGCGCCTGTCCTAGGTATTATGGGTATTATGCTCGTCATGGCAGCCTCGCTCCTTGCACCTTGCATGGCACTAGAGAAGCAGCCACAGGCTCATGCCCAGTTAATCCAGATGCCAGTCCCAATCCCTGTCCCAGTCTAGATGGGAGAGGGGTGCACAGGGGGAGTGTCTGTGGGAAAGGCTCCTGCAGCCACAGCTGTGCTCGCCAGCCAGCTGTGAAGCCCAAGCCTGGTGTCTGGCACCCGTCTGTTAGCTGAGCAGCGCTCCCGCTGTGGGAATGCACTGACCACCATGGGGCAGCTCCTGCATTGAGCATCTGCCCCCTGGTGGTCAGTGCATGTCATAACTACTGGCAGGTCATCTGATTGCTTAGGCTTTTATATATATATATAAAATTAGTTTCAGGTGTATAGCATAGTGGTTAGACATTTATATAACTTACAAAGTGATCCCCCCAATATTTCAAGTACCCATATGGGACTGTACATAGTTATTACAGTATTATTGACTATATTCCCTATGTTGTACTTTACAACCCCATGACTATTTTGTGACTACCAATTTGTACTTTTTAATTCCTTCAGCTTTACACCCAGCCCCCAAACCCCCTTCCCTCTGGCAACCATCAGTCTGTTCTCTATATTAGTCTGTTTCTATTTTATTTGTTTGTTTATTTTGCTCTTTAGATTTCACATATAAGTAAAATCATATGGTAATTGTCTTTCTCTGTCTGACTTAGCATAACATCCTCTAGGTCCAATAATATTTTTTGAGAAATAGAAAAAACTCCTAAAATTCATGTAGAAACCAAAAAGACCCGTAATAGCTAAGAGAGAACAGAGCTGAAGGCATCACACTTCCTGATTCAAAATATATGCCAAAGCTACAGTAATCAAAATAGTATGGTGCTGCCCTGGCTGGTGTGGCTCAGTTGTTTGGGCATCGTCCTATGCAACAAAAGATTGATTCCCAGTCAGGGCACATTCAGGGGTTATAGGCTCATTCCCCTGTGGGGAGGGCAGAAGGTGCAGGATGAAGATGATTGATGTTCTGCTCTCACATCCATGTTCCTCTTTCTCCCTTTCTCTTCCTCTCCCTCGAAAAATCAATAAAAATATTTTTTAAAAAACCAGTATGGTACTGCCATAAAGACAGACATATAAACCAAGGAACTAGGATAGAAATCCCAGAAATAAATGTACACATATAAGTCAACATATCTTCAACAAATGTGCCAAGACTACAAAGTTAGGAAAGGATAGTTTCTTTAAAAATGGTGCTGGAATAACTTGATATAAACATGCAAAAAAGTGAAATCAGACTCCTATGGTGATACCTTGTGGACTTTTGAGACCCTGGTCGGGGAGCTCAGTTGGTCAGAGTGTTGTCCCAATATGCCAGGGTTGCTGGTTCGATCCTCAGTCAAGGCACATATAAGAATCAACCAATGAATGCATAAATAAGTGGAAAAAGAAATCAGTGTTTCTCTTTCTGTATCTCTCTTTCTTCCTCTCTCTCTCAAATCAATAAGTAAAATTTTAAAATAAAGACTTTTTATATGTCTTGCCAAAATTACTCTTCCAGGAACATACTAATTTTTACATTTAAGAAAGGTCAATGTTTCTTTAACAAAATAATGTGTTTTTCTTTTTCTAGGCTTTGAAATTTCTGAAAATCAGAAGAGGCAGGCTGCAATGACTGTGAGAAAAGTCTCTAAACAAAAAGGTAAAGCTGCGTTTTACCAACACTCCTCCTACCCCACCCTATCCCACACCCACCCCACCATTCACTCTTTTTGTGAGAATGGAAAGCCATAGGCTATGTGTTTTCATATTCCTAGGCTTTTTTCCATGTAGAAGTTCACTTGAGGGGGGTGGAAAGTTTCTGGATTCCTATGTGTCCCTGTACATAGAAAATGTTCTTAAAGGCTTAAGTCTGAGGAATGAATAGTATAAGGTACTTATGTCCAGAGATAGCTCATCGAGTACAGGAAAAAAATAGAGCCTCTTTTTATGTTTATTTTTACTTAAATAAACGAGGGAGAGCAAGAAACTAAACTTTACTAACAATTTAGAGATGGCTGGGCAATAGAAAATGTGTAGGATTTATTTATAAGTGTAAGGGAAATGTGCAGAATTTTCTTTCATTGTTTTGGAGATATTTGGTAAATCAAGAATCCCAAATCAGAATGAAGAACTTCAAACTGAATCTAGAAGATTCAGATATTCATTGTCTCATTCTCTGAACTATACAGAATTTACAAAAGAAAAATACATTGAAAATAAATTTGAATATGAAATGAAGCCCTATTTTCTCATTTTTATGAACTAGACAAAATTAAAATGCTTAGTTAAACAAAGGAAAGGAACTACCCTCTGTTTATTTGAGAGCCTATTCAATCCCAGTCATTTTACATAATTTCTTTCATTTCATCTTTATGGCACCCCTAACAAGGTAGGCATTGTTAGCCCTGTTTTGTAGATGAGGAAACAGGATCTTCTGGGTTAAGTGACTCTGAACATAAGTCAGCTTGACTATAAGTCCCCTTCTCTCTCTTCTCCACCTAAGGGGTCTGATGATTTTCCATTTTGAGGAAGAACAGCTGACTTTTTTCGTCTTACCTCAGTTACCAACAAATGTTTCTGTTACTGATAACCACTGTTATTGTCCCAAGGGGTAGGCAATCTTAGACCTCAGTTTCCCCAGGTCACTCCTTCTGCTTTCTCAGTGGACTATTGCTCAGAATGAGTCACCGTAGAAAATGATCAGATTCAAGTTGCCTAAAATTCCAGCAGTCACATAAAGCACTCCTAATTACTGTTAATGACACTGTTTTTCATTGAGTAAGCTGAGTACCTGTGTATATCTGATTTCCAATTAAGCAGTGTACCTAGTTGGAGCCCCTCTATCTAGACATGACAGTCCCTTTAAAGGCTTATTGCTTTTTTTCCTTGGGAGACCCTCTTTCCCTCATCATGCAAATGTGATTCTCTTTAGATAAAGAATTAAAGGCAACCACTCCTAACCTCTTGGGGATGAAAAGTGAGGTATAATATTAGAAAGCAATCTGGAGTTACTGTAAGTAAAGATATGACCTGTATGAATAGGAGAATCCTGTGAGGGAATATGCCCCTTCTTTAGATGGAGATATGAACAGAAAAGAGCCCTAGGCAGGTGGAGAGTCCTCAGGTTACAAAGGGGCTACTGTCCTAGTAGCCTGCATCTGTCTCCTGTAGGCTCTTAGTTCCTGAGCTTCTCTCACTCTGATTTCCTTCATTGTCCTCACCATACTGACATTTGTGATGGGATGGTACCCCATTACCTTAGCCCAGGTTCCCTAAAGCTTATCTGAAACTGGCTGGTTTTGTGACTGATAATCCTTAAAGCTTAGGAAAATCCACAAATCAAGCAACCAGAAAACAGTCCTGCTCAGTCATACCAAGCTTTTGTGTTAGTTTTCTTACCCACCTGTCTAGTCTCAACCTATACCCTTCAGGTCCTCTCTTGTGTCCCAATATTTAAACACTGGTTCACCTGAACAGCTTTCTACCTGTAATAGCAATCTTAAAGACTTCAAAGAAACGTATCTAGTTTCAAATGTCCCAGAATTCCTACAAATCACTTTTCTTATTTCTACTTCTAGTCTTCAAGACTCTTCTAGTCCAGGGCTGTGGTGACTCATATATTTTGTGACTCAAAGGTACTATACATGTGGAAGTAGTTGTCAAACTTAGTAATATTAGTTACATAATATACATGGGAAGAGCAAAGGAGTCCTTATAGATACCAATTAAATCTAGCTTCCTTACCATTCCAATAAACCCTTCCTGAAAGTGATGTGAAAGAATTGTTGTTAAAATTTCTCTAATGTAATGTAATTGGATAGGTAATTATTCTAGTTTCCCTTTGCAACCCCATCTGTAATGCCATGGGACTTTATCAACTCAGTCAACTGTTCTGGAGGACAGCCTAGCTCTAAGGAAGGCCTTTTCATTTTACATTTGTCTTTCATACTGCCCTGGTTTTAACTTCTTAAGAGTTGTATGCTACTTCCTGATCCATCAGACTATTTCAGTCTATCATTATAGAACTCCCTAGGGCCCTGAGTATAGCCCTGATCTTCAGAGGTTTTGGGACCAGTTGAGAATCAAATGAGTACAGTATAATAACTAAAATAATCTTGAAAAGTAAGAAAAAAGTTAGAGTAATCAGTCTCTCCTGATTTCAACACTAATTTATATAGCTATAGTAACCATAACAGTGTAGTGTTGGCATAGAAATAGAGATATTAGCTCAGTTGAACATAATAGAGAACACAGAAATAGACCTACACAAATTTACATCACTGAATTTTGACAGAAGTGCTAAAGCAATTCACTGGAGGAAGGATAGCCTTTCAATAAATGGTGCTGAAACAATTGAAATTCCATAGGGCAAAAATTAAAAGGAGAGCTTCAAACTAAACTTGCATCCTATAAAAATTAACTCAAAATTGATAATGCACTTAAATTTAAAACTACAAAATTTTAGGATTGATAGGAGAAAATCTTCTCTGCGTATCTAGGGCTATACAGAGAAGTTCTTAGACTTGACACCAAAATCTTGAATTACAAACTAAAAAATTGATAAAATACCTTCGTCAAAATAGAAAAATTTTCTCTGTGACAGACCATGTGAAAAAACAAGTTACAGGCTAGAAAAAAATATCTGCAAACTACATATCTGATGAAACACTAGTATCTAGAATATATAAAGAACTCTCAAAACTCAACATTAAAAAACCACCTATTCCAATTAGAAAATAGGCAATATATAAACATATTTCACTGAAGAGGATATATTGATACCATTTAAAAATTAAACTATGTTCAATATCATTAATTATTGGAGAAATGTGAATTAAAACCATAATGAGATATTACTACATATCTATTAGAAATGCAGAAATAAAAATAGTAACACCATCAAATGCTGGCAAAGATGCAGAAAAATTGAGCCATTTATACCTTGCTGGTGAGAATATATAATGGTACAGCCACTCTGGAAAATAGTTTGGCACTTTAAAACATGAAACATACAATTACCATATGAGCCAGCAATTACACTCTTGAGCATTTATTCCAGAGAATTCAAGACTTATTTCCACATAAATCAAATGTTCATAGAAGCTTTGTTCATAATAGCCCAAGCTGAAAACAATTCAGATGTCCTTCATTGGGTGAAAATTAAGCAAGCTATGGTACATTCATACCATGAAATATTACTCATCAGTAAAAAGGAGCCAGATACAAGTACATGTTACAACTTAGGTGAATCTCAAAGGAATTATACTACTAGTAAGTGAGAAAAGCCAATTTCTAAGGGTTGCATATTGTATGACTCCATTTATACAATGTTTTAATGTAATTTATAAATGGGGAATAGATTAGTGGTTGCCAGGGAATAATAAAGGGGTGGGGTCAGGAGAGAAATGAATGTGGTTACAAAAGAGTAGCAAGAGTGATCCTTGTGATGATAGAAATGTTCTATCTCTTGACCATGTTCTATAAAAATGGTAATATCTTGGCTGTATTATTGAACTACTAGAGGCCTGGTGCACATGTGCACCAGTGAGGTCCCTCGGCCTGGCCTGCAGGATAGGGCTGAAACCAGCTCTCTGACATCCCCCCAAAGAGTCCTGGATTGTGAGAGGGTGCAGGCCTGGCTGAGGGACTTCACCAGTGAACGATCAGAGCCAGGGAAGGATGCGGGAGGTTGGCCAGCTGGGGAGGGACTGCGGGAGGGCTCCAAGGTCTGTCTGGCCCATCTAACTCAGTTCTGATCTGCTGGACCCCAGCAGCAAGCTAACCTACTGGTCAGATCGTCTGCCCCCTGGTAGTCAGTGCATGCCATAGCGAGTGGTTGAGTGGCCTTAGCATATCATTAGCATATTACACTTTGATTGGTTGAACGGATGACCGGATGACTGGACACTTAGCATATTAGGCTTTTATTATGTAGAATAGTTCTGCAAAATGTTATTATTAGAGAAACTGAATAAAGGGTACAAAGCATACCTCTGTATTTTCTCTACAACTACATACAAATTTATAATGATCTCAAAATAAAAAAAATTTAATTAAAAATTTCAAATGAGCACTCCCAATATTCCCTCCCTAATATGTCCATATTGTTTATTGGCATCCCGTACCCTCATATTTCTGACACCACCTTTGAAATCGGACAGAGAATGCCATTAGGGGATTGTCAAGGGCAGGGGGTGGGGGAAGGACACATATGTAATACCCTTTGTAATACTTATTATAATATTTTTTTAAAAAGAATAAAAAAAAGAAATATAACAAAAAAAATGAAATAAAAATATTTACCTTAAAAAAATGGCAGAATAGTTTGCTTCTGTTCTCCCCCTAAAGAACACTGATTTTGTCAAAGACCCAAAGATGAGAGTGACTTTTTTTTTGAGTCTAGGAGTCTATCAGAGAAGCTCCAGATCACTGCTGGAGAAAAATAAAATCCATTATTGGATGCATAGAAGAATCCAGTCAATAAAGACTAAGGGAGGTCATTACTTCTTCTTCCTTATTTAAACAATATTTTTATTGATTTTATTTTTAGAGAGAGAGGAAGGGAGAGGGAAAAAGAAATAAACATTGATGTAAGGGTGAAACATTGATCAGCTGCCTCCTGTCTGCCTTTTAGTGGGATCAAACCCACTATCCTGGCAT